CCGGTACTTTTCATGCGTGAATTTTCCGACTGCTCGACACGTATTGCAGCTGCGGAATCGCCGGTAATAGCTTTAGCAGAATCGAGAGTAATGCCCGAAAACATTTACAATACGCGTCGCTTGCCGCGAATAAAAACGCGGTGATCGTTTAGCGGCGATAATACGCGTACAACGCCGACAACAACAACAACAACAACAAGAACGACGACGAGCCCGGTAACAGCGGCGTTGGATAAATGGGAGAAAGGAAAAAACAACAAGCGGGGGGGGAGAGGTAGGAAAAAATGGGATATGATCGAGCGAAAATTCGAACTGGGCGACGATTCGATTCGAGCTACGGCGCACGAACGATGGAATATTGTCGCCGGTTGTTGTTGTTGTTGTATCCCAATTGCTCGCCGTGCGAGGTGTAATTTGACAATATTAACGACACTACTCGAATAACATTTCGATCGATTTTTCTACAAATTGAACGAGTATATCGCGAGTATATCAGAGTTAAAGTCGGACGCAACTTTTCATGAAATAAATATATTAATCGCGAATAATACGCATTTATTCCGTAAACTCTTCCGTAGATTTTTGTAAATGCATAAACATTCCGATTCTGCATAAATTGATTAATTTAACGATTAAATTCGTTTTCAACTTTTCGTCTGGAAATTCGATTCTCGAAAAATTGGTGCGCGAACGTATTAAGACATTATTATGAAGCGACGACAGATGTTGCGCGCAACATCTCCTTCATTCCCTTTTAACGAGGCCGCGCGTGTAGTAATCCATCCATCGATGCGAAACCAGTGATTCGAGACGACAATTATCGTACAGGTATATAACAGGAAAACGTAACAGGTCGACTGCGGTCTGATGGATGATGATGATGACGGTAATTGTCGGGAATTACCCGACGTTAATTACATCCAGGGCGAAATCGAGCGCGTTTACACCGCCATTCGCAGACACTTGCCAGACTGACCGACCGGCCGACCGCGTTAATACACGCCCGATAAATTCGATTCGAAACGTCACCGCGTATCCCGTCCAGATATTTTACCCTCTCGCGTCGTCAGAGTTGTTACTCATCTCACACCACGTCCTTCGACCCCTATATACACTCCCCATTCCCCGTTTCGTCCCGTTTCCGCTCCCAATTTTCCTCCCTTTTTGCATCGTGTCTCTCTCTCTCTCTTTCTCTCTTCTTTCCACGAGTTTTTCATTCGAGTCCAACTCTCGTCGCAAACGCGGACGATTAATCATTTCTCGATCGAATATATATATATATAGGGAATCTATGGTGAAAGGGTCGGTTTTGATTTTATAAACGCGATCGAGCGTGAAATTGCGGCGTAGAAATACGATCGTGTAAACAGCATCTGACGGCCGTCCAACATTTTACAATGAATATGGGATAATTCAGATGTAACCGGTTCGCAGCGAGTGGCTGTGAAAACGTTCGGTTTCGCGCCGGATACGAGTCGAATTCACGGATAGAGGCCCTCTCCTCCTCCTCCTCCTACTCTTCTTTCGTGAGTCTCGAGAGTGGAAATTCGATCGTTCGACCCGATTCATCACGGCCGGGACGAATCGAGAAGACGGACATGAGCGATTCCTCACGGCCTTGTTCCACTTCGCCTGGCCGAAATAAAGCTCGAGCGTAAATCTCTCGTAGGAATTTATCGGCGACGGGAAGGGAAAAAAAAACAACAATCCTGCCTACTTGTCTTTCCACGGGAGTCGTGTATCCCCCCTCGCTATAAAACTTGAAACTTCTTGGGTTTTTTCTCCTCGTTCGTGTCATTGAGAGAGAGAGAGAGAGAACTTTTGGAAGAGTATGTATCTTTATTTTTGTACAATTAAAATAATCTTTTTATAAACGTGAGAGAGTAAAAGTTATGAATTTAAAATAACAAACTTGTAATTGTGTTCGAAAGATCTAAGACTAGACGTCTTAATAATATCCTCTTTTATCATCTCATTTTATACACATATTCGTACAGTTTCATTGTTCAATCAATAATAAACACGTATGCATTGATATTTATTCGCATAATCTTCCCCCTGTCTATCGATAATCTCGAGCGAATTTTCACGGTTGTTCCTCATCCTCCACCCTTTTTGGTGAGGATTTTCCAACCGACACGAAGCCCGATTCGCGATCCAAGGGGGCTCTGCATCCGGTTGAAAGGGAAAGAGAAAGAAGAGCGGCGGAAGCGGAGGAAATAAGCGGGGAGGCCGGCTGCTAAATATTCAATAAACGCGGGCATTATTCGTGGCACGTCGACGCGAAAGCTGGAAGAGTGGAGAGCGAAGAGGTAACGCGAGAAAAATCGCGAGCAATGAGGGCGAATGAGTTTAGCGCGAAAGGTTGGCGCGGAAGAAACTCGATGGAAGAGGAGTTATTTATCCTCTCGTGAAAATCGAGATTCTTCAACGAAGAAAATACAGAAACTAGAAGAAGGAACTCTTTTTCCTTTTCTCTCTCGCGTGTTTAAAATATCATCGAACAATTACGCGTATATTCGCAATTATTATCTTTAACCCTCCGCCCCATTTGTCGTCTCTTATTATAACATCACGATTAACGATACCATTAAAGAGAAATCGTCTCGATTAAGTTGCTACAAAGATCGCGACAATTCACGAAAACGTCTCTCTCTTGAACACGTGACCATCGTCGATCAAGCCTCCATTATGCTATTTATTTTCGTGCACACACGATCCTCGAGGCCGTTTCGACTCGATAAATTTTTATGGCCGCTCCTCGTAAATGAATCGCCTATATAAAAACGACGGACGAGGACAACATCAATTGACCACATTAACGTGCGGGAATGCCGTAAAAGCGAGCACGAAACGAAGCTTTCCGCTTTTGGTCCACTAACGCGAACTCGTACGCTGCCATTTCTCTTTTTTTCCTTCGAAGAGGAGGAGGAGGAGGAGGAGGAGGAGGAGGAGGAGAGGCGAGACGAGGAAGGCTGCTCGAAGGAGAGAAAAATCGGGATATTTACAATGGCGGTCACGATCGAGCTACGAGAAAACGGGAAATTCAAATCGGCCGATCGCCGCGATGAATATGGATGTCGGGTATGGGGGGAGGGGGCAAGAAAAACACGACGGGGAGAGATCTTTGTGATGCAAATCCGGCGACAGTACTTTTTCTTTATTAATATCGAGAATGTGTTTTTTCGACGGGGCTGCATTGAAGAGGGGAGAGGGAGGAGAAAAAGGAAGAGGAGAGGAGAGCAGCTCGGTCTCTTTCCTTCTCCCCCTCCCCTCTTCACCCGTAGCCGGGTTAATTCTCGATATCAAACGAACCACTTCCAATCCTATTTCTGTCTGTTTACACGGCAAACAGATCGGTCTGGGGCCATTAACAGGCACCCGGGAAAGTATTATGTAAGAGAAAGAGAGAGAGAGAGAGAGAGAAAGATATCCTCCGTGGCAACCTTGCGCCATTTTTCTTCCCGCTCTTACGATAAATCCCGTTAAGATACGGTCAAAGAAGTGACGTAATCTGTGAGCTCTGTCAAAGGGACTCGTGAGAAATGTAATTTTTCCGTGCAAACAGTGAAATGTGACGTGAAACGGACGATGATGGGACGGCGATATAACCACGGACGATAATAACTCCGATATCGGACGACTATTTCGAGGACTATTGGAGAGGAAAAAAATTTGTGGGTCGACCTAGATGACTCCAGTTGACGGATCGGACGGTTTGGAAAATTATTCTTCGATTCGTTATTCTTCTTTCATATTTCTCGTCATCGACTAATGATTAATTGATTAATTTAAAAATCGATACAACAAAATAATATTAAATTATTCAAATAAAAAACACACATACAATAGCAACTAATTGATCAAAATTAACGATTAATACCCCATTCGAATATCGTTATTTAAACTATCATCAAACAACATTCTATTATATCTTCAAAATATCATAGAAAAAGCCTCCAAAGCGTAGCTCTATTATACTCCAACATAAAGAAAAAATATAACGTTAACACGAAGGGTTAAATCAATCTCACCGGATTAATCGAGTCTATCTTATTCATTCGCGCAACACGCATCCCTGAAGAAGAATCCCAGAAGAGGGGCGCGGCAACCAGCTCAATAATTCGTAATAAAGGGCTCGACCGGTGCCTTCCCCCCTCCCTCCGCTTTTTCTTCGTCCAAAGGTCGCCGGAAGAAACCTTTCCTCCCTTTCCCCTTGTGCAATTTGCATGTTATTACCTTGTTTACATATTTATTCAATAGGGCAAGAGAGAGAGAGAGAGAGAGAGAGAGAGATCGTCCCCGTTCCCTCTCCCCCTCCCTTTAATTTCGGATTAAGGGTCACGCGCGAAACCACCGAGGCGAACGATTAGTAAGTCGGGGCACGGATATTGGCCGTCCGTCCGTTCGCGCTCGCGCCACGAATGAAAACATAAATTTCGACCGAGCGTTCTATCGCGCGTTAAGTCAACGAAGTAATTACTATACCCGGTGCTGTCGGTGCACGTGCGTGTAAAACAGGTGCACGCGAGCGTAATCTGAACACAGGTGAAGGGGGAAGGGGAGGGCTCGTGTACGTGTGCGGGTATATTCGAGAGGGTACAGGGTGTTTCACGCGCGAGTCTCGAGCGACGCGTCCAAGGGTTTTCGACAATTTTTTAATTTCCAGTAATCTGCGTTTGTCTCTCATCTCGAGAGAGAACGTCGATGAAAATAAATTATTCCATTTTTATATTTGCATTTGTATTGTTTAAGGATAAATTTGCATCGGATATTGATTCGTTATCGTAGATCATTCGAAACTCTCGACGTACAACTCTCGTTTATTATCGAAGAAATTGAAGAACAATTAATTAATAGGAATATTAGAGAATTGTATGATAACCAGCCGCGTGAAACGGCTTGTACACGCGCGTGCATGCACGATTGGCGGTTATCTATCTCGGAGCGGTTCGATGATACTGATTTGAAATTCAAATGAAGACGATGGGAAGGCTTACCTGTTTATGCATTTCCACGTTCAGCCCGTAGGACATCTCGTAATACTGAAAGAATAAAAGAAAAAGGAAAAGATGTATTGGACGTGAGAGAGGTGTAAAAAGACGGCGAGAGGCGTGCGCGGGGGCGAGGCGATATCGAAGAAGCATGCTGGATACAAGCGTTAACGGCGACGATACGCGCGCGGCGCGTGTGAAATCTTTTCTTGTAATCTTGTCTCTCGTCCACGCGCACGCCTACGTGAATAATAGTTTTCAATCAAAAAAAAAAAAAAAAAAAAAAAAAAAAGAAAAAATGACACCAACCTCTTGATGCTTACTTATTGCTCACTTATCATCCATTCATTAAATGGATCATATTTATTTTTTCTTTATTTTTAATCTGGACAAATATCGCTAAATTAATTAATTGTACAAAATTATTCTACTCGCTACTTTTTCCAGACCAATCACTTTCACCACGAAAATGAATTACCCCTGCTTTATTTTCTTGGGCAAGAACAAAAAAAAAAAAAAAATTATCGATTTCTAGAAGACCATTAAATCTAGAACACAAATACGAAAGATCGCAATCGTAAAAATTTAAAATGCGACAGACATGCATCGATCCCCGAAAAACACACTCACGTTCCTATATATCGTGATATATATCGAAGGAGAGGAGGGGGAAAAAAAAAAAAAAAANAAAAAAAAAAAAAAAAAAAAAAGGCAGAAGAAAAAAAACTCGTGATCCCGATCCAAGTCGATCGAGATAAAGGGAATTTGTGCCAGAAGTCCGCCGATAAATAATTTCGCTGGCGTGTAGCAACGGCAACCCGAACGAAAAAAAAAGGGGGGAGGGGAAAAGAAGAGAAGAGAAGAGAAAAAAAGAAAAAGTGGTCGAGAAGGCATTCTGGTCTCCGATCCGAATATATATTCAGCTGCAACTTATTATGCAACGCGTGATTCAATTGCACGATCCCGGCCGGTGGGACGAGTAGAGCCGCCGGCCGCAACGATCCGATCTCGACGATCGATCTTCCTCCGAGCTAATGGAACCTCTCCACTTTGTATTAAACGCGGCCCCTTATATAACTATATAATACTATCCTACTCGACTCTTCCCTTCCTCCTTCTCCTATCTTTTGATATTCGAAAATTCCATCGGTGAAGATGGACGTCTACGAATCCGTTGAAATATATCGCGAAAGGGAAAGTCGATCGGGCGAGGGGAGGGGGAGGGCTTGGATGTAGCCGGTTAAGCCGAGCGGAAGGATTCCCAAGGGCTAATCGAATTATCGAGTTACCTAAACCGAGATGCTGCTCGAATTCGTAATAACGTCTAAAAGAACCCTTGGAAGAGGGTCTTTAGGGGAGAGAGGGGGAGGGGGAGGCTGCCGAGAGCCGAGATTACATCGATCGAACGAGATTACGAAAAGCGGGCCAAATTGAGCCGTAATGCGAGATCTTGGCCAGGAACCTTGGAGGATAAACCGCGCGGAGAAAATGAGAAAAACGACCGTAGAATCGTTTCTTACTTTATGTGTATATATATATATATATATATATATAGCCGTCCAAACGATTCCGCGTGTGTGTGTGTGTGTGCACGCGTGTCCCGTGCGTGTACGCGACCGTCCAAGACCGGTTTCTCGTAACATCGTATCTACATCGTGTGTACAAGATCCCGGCTCGGGTATGCTTTAACTAATTCACCTACCGGACAGTGGTTCTCCGTTCCTGTAATTCGATAGATCGGAGAGGCGAAGAAAAAATAAAAATTGTGAATTTATTTTTTAAATACGAAGGGAGGAGAAAAAGGTTTGTCTTTTGTAGTTTTCTTTCTCTCTCTTTATACGTAACTTCAAACGTAGCTTTGTGTTTCTTTTTAATTTTTACGCGTATTGAATACAAATAATCGAATTTTAATAGTTTTGGATTAGTTCGTTTATTATGGAGAGTCAGTTGCTCAGAAATCTAGGTTTCTTTCCTCTCCTTTCGTTAAAAAATAATAAAACGGTATGTTTTTCTCTTTGCGCGTCTTTCTTTTGTACGCAATATTCTTTTCCCTTCCTTTAATCGCGGATATTTTTTATTTCACCGGCTAATATCTGTAAAGGTGGCCGCTTTGGGGAGAAAGGTAAAAAAAGTTTGAAAGCCCGAGAATCCGTGAAAATATCCGTATACAGAAGTAAACAGCTTCGAACATCCCTCGATATGCATCTTTCAACGGTTACACGGCAGAAAAGCACCACTTTGGGATCCACATTTTTCTCTCCCCACGGTAATCAGAATACGTTCCGTACAGTTTGGCCAACCATTCGAAAAATTCCCTACACGAAGCTTCTTCCTCGAATCCCTGAAACGTATTATTCATGTACAACCGATTGTTGAAATTGTTGAAACTCTGAGCGAACGTTGAAAAGAAAAGAAAAAAAGAAAAGGAAAAGAAAATGATTCGATGAAACGATTTAAATTTTTCTTTACGATTAAATTAATGAATATTTGTATATCCACGAAAAAGAATATTTATTATAAAAGATGTACGGAATGTAAAGGTATAAAAAATTGAAGAACGCCATTTTATATAGATATATAGTATAGATTCAAAGGATTGAAACAAAGTTGCAGCACGTGTATATTTGTCCATCCTCGAACTCTCTATTTAGCGGACCACTCGGTCTTCCATCCCCTCAATTATGACTCATCTTACGACTCGCGTTTCTGAGTCATCGTCCCGGCGGAAGAACGTCAATGGGACGTGCATGGCGAACAAAAAGAAATTTCGTTTCACATCAGTGACAATTTTGGAGAGAATTTGATGGACAAAAGGAACGAAAGAAACATCATGTGTTTCTTTTAAAAAGAAATAATAATAAAATCTGATATCTAAGAGTATTCAAAATATATAAAATATAAAACTTAACTTAAAAGAATGAAAAGCGACTTGGATTTTGAACGATTATTTCGGATAAAATGACATTGAATTGTATAATTTCCCGTAACACCTCTCCAACCCAAAATTTATTTTCGACAATTACATTCGTATCCCGATCTCGACAATTTCAATCGTCTTACATAAAATATATAAAACCGGTTTTCAAAAGCAGAAGTGAAATAAACGAGAAAATTGAATGGAATAAAGAAAACACTCGACCAAGTCATTCAAGCTCGAATTAAAAATTACGAGATGAGAAAAGAGAAAGAGAGGAAAAGAAAAAAACCAGAGACGAGGACGTAAATGATAAGGACAGGAGAAAAAAAAAAAAAAATACGCCACAGAGATCGTCTCTCGCAGGTCGTGGCGACATTCTCGACGAAGTAATTACCCTTTAATTAATAGACTTGTCCCCGTTGAGAAACGTTCTCGGAGGTCAGGATCTTAATTATCCCGAGGCTGGAAACGTAACTCGCGTTTAACACGTAGGGCGAGGAAGGGCGATGGCTGTTCCAGGGGGAGGGAGGGTGTCGTCAGTCGACTCGATTCGGGTTGGAGAGATGATAAAACGGTGGCGCGGCAATAAACGTCGTTCAGCCATTAAACTCGGCCGAATTCGGTGCCCACACACACACAAACACACGCATATACGCGCGAACCCTCCTATTTCCACCATCGCCGCCACCCCCGACTCTCCACTCGCCGACCGTTCGTTTGCATTTTCAAATTGAACCAGCTTTACGCCGCTATCCCAGAGTTTTATGCCGCATCATCGTGTCCACATTATCGAGTTAAGCCCGTCCGGGAAATTCAATCTGCGACGATCTCCACGAAATTTCCAACGAGTCGCGGCCGCCGAAACAGTCGAAACTCGCGCGGAAATCCCGTGGAAAGGGATGGATGGAAGAGGGGATATGTTATTCGATTTCTTCGGGGATGGGACGGGAGAGGAACGTTCGTGTTTCGAGTTCGTGCGTATCCTTATTTAAAGAGGGGAAAAAAAAAAAAAAGGAGGGGAGGGAAAAAAAAATACAGGGAGAATCGCGAAACGAACCGAGAAAACTGTATAGGGATAGGGTCCTGGATAGGGATGAAAACCCCTCGAATCGTCGCATAATCCCTTTGGAAACTGGCGTGGAAACGAGTCATGACGCTTTCATTCTCGAATAAACGACCGATATCGATCGCGATCGATATCTCCGCTGTGACGAGATACGCAAGACTAATGGACCCTCGGCTTTCTCTCCGCCGCACACCCTGTTTTGTCCCGTCCCTTTCACGAACCCTTATCCCCCTTTTTATCTTCCACCCTCCCCACGATGGAAGATCGTGGCCCCTGTTGAACGAGCACAAAGCATCCGCCACTCCTCTCTCTCTTTCTTCACCTTTACCTGTCCCGTCATTGTTCCTCCCTCGACTTGCAAATTTTGCCCTCCATTCGATCGGTCTCTCTATCCGATTTAATCAAGGAAAACACTCGAAACCTCGATACACACACACATATACGTGTATGGACACGATGATTGCATCGCTTTCGAATCTTCGATTCTAAGTCACGATTACGAGACGTGGTTTGGATGATGTTCGAGGGAACGTGTAGATCAGATTCTTTGAAATTGTTCATTTTAGATATTGTGGGAACGGTGGATCATTATGGATGAGAATATAAGAAAGTTAATTCGGGTTTCTCTGACTGGACACGTTTAATAAAATGTTATATAAAAGTAGTAAATATTTCCTGTCTTATAATTTATATCGACGGTGATAAATTTCACGAAACATATGCTGATATAAAACAATTAATGGAATTATTATTATATATATATAGATAAAACATCGTTAATAATCGATATAAAAAAAGAAGACGATAATAACTTGTAGAATAGAAAGACTACAATTCTCTAAAAAAAATGTATAAGTCTGGTATAATAGATACCAAGATACCAAGATAAACCGACCAAAAAAAAAAATTTAATTATTCTCTATTATTATCAACGAAGTATTAAGTATCATCGATAAAATAATTTCTATTACCCTGTTTGACACACAAATTCTAAAGGAATTTTTTAGATAGAACTATCCGATAGACTGATCCAAACTCCATCGATATAAATAATAAATATACGAACGA